AGGGAAACCCTTTGTCCTTCTGACTTGGCTGTAGAGCAGGGGCAGCACCCTCCCACTCATCCTAATTGCCGACTGCTGTCAATGGTCCAAAGGAGCCCTGGTGGCCCAGTGGGTTAGGTGTTGGTCTGCTGCTACCTTCCAGGTTGGTGGTTCAAACCCGTCAGTTGCTCCACACACACAAAGATGAGGCTGTCTGTTCCCCTAAAGATCCACAGCCGTGGAAATCCTACGGAAGGGCAGAATCTGCTTAATGACAGTGGGTTTAACAGCCCATGTGTGGGACATACATAATTCCATGTCAACTTGATAAATAAGTGTAAGGGTGGAGTCCAGCCTGTCAATCAGGCTGTGGCCTGATGGTGCCTCCTTATAGGCGTGGCCATCGCATGGAGATTCTGGACACTTCCTCCATCGGTCTGCAGGGGGCCACACACTCTCTCTGCTGTTGTCTTCCTGTTGACTAGCCACGTGGAGCCACGCTGAGACTTGCGAGAGAGCCCCGGAGATGCTTCCACTGTCACTGGATCCATAAGACTGCACCCACTGGCCTGTGATCTTCCTGAACTTTGCATCAATGCATGTGGCTTTGTGAGTCTGAAGAGGGATTTATGGACTCGTATCAGACTTACGGGCTATTATCAGACTATGGACTTGATCTGGACTCGGCTGGGATGTTTTCTTAATATACCTTTACTCTTTGATAGTAAGCTCTGTCTTACACACATATGAGTGCCTCCGGATTTGTTTCTTTAGTCAGCCTTGCCTAACACAGCACGTAAATACAAATTCTTAGTCTGGATCGCCCCCTCTTCAAAGCAGAACCCAAGACAAAGATTCTCTTTGGATGAGTGAGGTCCAAGAAAGGGAGAGGCGCTGGCTCTCACCAAGGGCAACGGGTGCTCAGTGCTGCCAGGAGTTGCTGGAACCTTATGAAGTCCATCTCCAAACGGCCCTGCTCAGGGAATCTCTGTACAACAGAGGAAACACCTCACAATTGCTGCGATGTTTGAGCTCGCTGTTGTAGTCACTTGTGTCAACCCATTTCCTCCGGGGTCTTTCTCTTTTTCGCTGCCCCCCCCCCCCCCCACTTAACCAAGCATGATGTCCTTTTCTCCAGGGACTGGTCTCTCCTGATAACATGTCCAAAGTTTGTACAATCCTCCGGTTGTACGGCCTCCAAGGCATTTTTGCTTTTTTCCTGGCTATCCCCAGCACATTCAGTAGTCCTTGCCAACACCATACTCAGCATGTGATCTTTCTTATCTTCCAACTTTCACATGCACGCAAAGCCACTGAAAATACCTTCGCTGGGGTCAGGCGCACATCAGGGCTCACATTTTTGAGGGATGGAAGTCCAAATTCAGGGAGCCAGCTCAAGGGTAAGTCTCTCTGTCTGCCAGCGCGGGGAGAAGGTCCCTGTCTTTTTCAGCATCCATTCCTGGGTTTCTTAGATTGTGTCTTGTAACATCCCCAATCCCCATTTCTGCTTACTTATTCGCTCCCACATCCACACCCACAGAATGCTGCCTCAATCGTATAACAAAGCAAATCCATTCCCAATGGGGTTATCACCACAGGTAGAGGGATTTGGATTTACAATGTGTGTTTCCAGAGACACAACTCAATCCATGACATGTATGGTTTTGCAGACACAGCGCATTGCCCACCAAAGAAGAGGCTCATCTGGAAGGGCCATAAGACCAAACCCAAACTCCCTGCACCGAGTCCATGCTGACTCGTAGCGACACTACAGAACAGGGGAGAGCTGCCCCTGTGGGTTTCCAAGACTGTCGACCTTAACGGGCGTCGAAAGCCCTGCCTTTCTCCCTCGGAGTGGCTGTTGGTTTCGAACTGCTGACCTTGCAGTTAGCAGACCAACAAGTAACCACTATGTCACCAGGGCTTTTAATCAACCTGAGTAAACTAGCATGCACTTTCAAATCCAATGCTTCTAGCAGACATCACCAGTAACTGGTCAAGTGTAAATGTTTTGGATCCCTCGTTATACACGTGGGAAACCACACTGAGGAAGTCACCTGATTGGGAGGCAAAACTGAACAGCCTTCCCTGCCAGCAGGCGGTCAGTTCACTGGCCAAAGCTGCCCAGAGCAGGGTGTGCACCCTGAAGAGAATGGTCCCGTGACCGTGGATATATGGCTGTCCTCTCTTGGGGACCCTTGGGCTGAGAATTTGGGCACAACCTCTCTGGCCTGTACTTATCTGTAGGCTGAGGAGAAGAATCCTCCCTCACCAAGTTTGTGTGTGTGTGTGTGTGTGTGTGAAGAACAGGTAAAGTGCCTCACCCGAGGGCCTTCGAGCGTTAGCATACCTGGAGAACTCCGTTGGGGCCAGTGTGGTGCTGTACTGTGCGACTAACAGGACGCCGGGAGCAAGACCACCATCGTCACAAACACCAGCAGGTCAGCCCTGGTGGACAGGTGCCAATTTACGTACTCTGACTTGCCCTTGAGGAGCCAGCCCCCTGGTGGTGGGATGGTTTCGAGTTGGGTTGTGATCCCGTAAGGTGGGCAGTTCGAAAGCACCAGCTGCTCAGAGGGGCTTTCTGCTCCCACAGTTACAGTCTCAGACACCCACGGGCCAGCTCACCCTGTCCTACAGGGTCGCGATGTGTCGGTCCGGACTGGGAGGCAGCGAGATGAACATGCTCTTTCCTAGAGAGAAGCCGTGATGGCTCTGAGCCTTCTTTGCAGGCACAGATGGAAAAATGGCTTCTACCGTCCCTTCCCCGACTTCTCAAAGGACCTGGAGCCCGAGGGCCTTTGAGGGTAGAGTGTGGTTTGCTTCAGATCTGTGTGGCAACAAGTCCCAACAGTTGATCCAACGCATACCAGCAACCGTCTAGCGAATTCGATTCTGTCACCCCCTCAGAGAACATCCAGTTCTAAAGGGAGATACAAATATTGTGAGGCGTAATGATGGTTCAGTAACATTTTTGAAAGCCAGTTAATATTTGTGGAATAAAAATAATAGTAAAGTGCTGATGACTCATAGGTAACTTTGGGGTTTCGCACCCCTTATATTCTTCATGAGATACGGGGACACGTGATCATGAAATGACTCAGAAAGTTTAACTTATCCTCTACAACTAGCTCAGAGTCAGATTTTTAGGAAACATGGTATTTATATCTCAAACCGAGCCAAGACTCTGACCCATAGCAACGTTAGAGGAGAAAATAGGGCTAGCCCTGTGGATTTCCGAGGTGGAGTAGAAAGCCTCGTTTTTATTAATTAAAAAATATTTTTTCCCCCTTGCTAGCATCTTGAATGGAATGATGTTGAGTGGAATCCATTACCTGAGGTGAACTAAGGTTAACCACACCGAGTCTTCCGATCCAGGCAAAGTGGTCTGTTGTCGCTATTTAGATTTTCTGATAGACAGTGCTTCCCACTCCCATCAAGAGTCAGTCTGGGAACCCCACAGGGGCAATTCCACCCGGTCCTTAGGGTGGCTATGAGTCGGCATTGACTCGGTGGAAGTTGTTTATGGTTTGTCGATTCTGGCAAGCCTATCTTGCACACCTCTGAAGACATACCTAAGTTCGAAGTAAAATTGTTATTGCTACAAAATCACAGACCCCCTTTGCCAAACTCGGAAATACAATGTGAAGGCACCTCTTCATGACACATCCGCCATCTGGGTCTACAAGCGTCGGCACATGGCGTTGCCGTCGCTCTAACCCTCCCCCCAACAAACTCTGAGCTCTTTGATTTTGGCCGGGGGCTAACACTGTGCTTCTCCGGAACTGTCTGATCTTCAAGTGCGGGGAGGAAAGGGTTAAGCATGTGTGGGTGCCCTTGGTGATCAGCTGCTGCCTGAAGGGCAGGCCGTGGGAGCCCACCAGTCGCTTGAGGTATGGGAGGAAGCCGAGGTGGTCTGCTACCGTGATCTCCAGCCTGAGAAACCCACAGCTTTGCACCAGCCTGTCGGGATACTGTGTCAGAATCCACTCAAGGGCAGTCTGGTTTTGAAGGAGCCCTGCAGGTAACCCTGGTGGGGGAAAGAGGAGCCTGTCTGCTCCCGTAGAGCAGCGGTCTCAGAAACCCACAGGGCAGTTCTACCCTGCCCCATGGGGTTGATGAGTCGGCCACTGACTCCCGGGCAGCGAGTTGGGTGTTTTGGGGGGGTCTGTAACACTAGGTGAGAGGCCAAGGACCCTACCTTCCGCAGGGCTGAGAAGAGGTGCCGCTATGAAGATAAGGACGCTGTCTTTGACGGTTTCTGATCTTGCCTTGTGCTGACACTGGCTGACTTCCCTGGGAAAGCCCCGAGGCTTGACCTCTGCCGCGTCTGTGAGGGCCTGGCAGCAGAGCAGTGGGAGGGATGGGTGGTGGGAGATGGAGGGCAGGGCCCGTCTGAGGTCTGCCTCACGGGACTCTTCCTTGGGACGATGTGGAGTCGGCCTTTGTTCTCCTCCCCCTCGTATAGTCAGGGCAGGTCAGATGTGCCCCCACCCCCCTCACCCCCGGCCATTTGCCCAGCGGCCAAACCTAACCCGATGCCACCTCCCTCCTCCAGGGTGAGCCCTGGGAAAACACACTAGAACACCCGCTCCGAGCCGGCCAGTGAGGCAGTGTCGGGTGGCAGCACAGCTGGAGTCCAGGGCGGCAGGGCAGACCTTCCTGGCGGAGGGCAGGCCCCGCGGGTTTCTGAGGGAGAGCCACATGCCGCACCAGCTCTGTGCTTCATGTCCATGAAACGAAGGTCCCATCCCTGGATGTCCCCACGAGGACGGACGGTGTCATTGCTCCAATATTGTCTTACAGTTCAAGAGGGCTGTAAACAACTCGGGGGTGGTTCCATCCTCCGAAGCCCTCTAGTGCTCGTCAGGAGTCTCCACCTTGCTGCCGGCGGTGCGATGCGCCAGATACCTGAGCGCCAACGCTGCGGGGAGATTGAGCCGGTGGCAACTTGTGATGGCACAGTTTTAATTTTTATAGGAAAAAGCGTCTACATAAAAACACACGTGCTGACTCCATAGTTCGATTTATGAAAAATAAATTTATTACATAACACCTTGTTTTTAACAATGTTCAATTTTTTTTAAAATTCAGAATACTTGTGTCATTCGTGTAAAATAGTTTGATACAGTACATTGTATGTTATAGATTCTCTCCCCCCTCAAAAACTCTAAGGCTCGCCCACGCCTTTCCCCTTGCCGACAGTCAGAGTGCCTACGTGACGGTGAACAAGGCTGAGAAAGGGAAGGGACTGAAGAGACTGTGGAGCTCGGCGCCAGCGCTCCACCGCCAGGACCCAGGGTCTCGCGCGGCCGCTGTGCCCCTGAAACAAGTGATCGCTCATGCTTTTTTTTTTTTTTTGCTTCATTTTTTCCCCGCTTTTATTTTTTGCTTGTTTGTCTTAAAGCATGCTCACAAATCAGCAACACCAACAGGGAAAAAAAACAAAACACTGTCTGGGACAATCTTCTGCTGAACCAAACGGCTTACCTCAGTGACCACCTACTTACTTATTACTATCAAATAGCAGCTTTAATTCCAGTCAAGTCAAAGACGGGAAATCAACCCACAACAACAAACCAAACAACAAGAACAAATGGAAACACAGCCCAGTGAGGGGGGACTAATCTTTGGGAGTTCGAAACCTTTCTGGCAAAACTATGTGGAGTTTGGACTTTGGGGAAGGAAAAAATAAAATCCAAGCATTTTCTTCCTTGGTTCAAAATAAAAGAAATCCACAAGCCAACAGTGACCGATGTCGGCACCGCTCCCCAGGCCACGGTGAGACACACTACAAAGGGGGGTGGACCAAAGGAGCTCATCTCACACCTCGGACTGTGGGAGTTACACACGGACCGTGTTTCAAGTACCAGTGAGCAGTTACCCGCTCACTACTGGTCAGAGAATGTTCTTACACTGACGGGATTCACCACACGACAACAAATGCTTGCCCTAGCACACTTCACAGCTTCACCTGCTTCAGGCCGTCGCTGGGAGGGGGAGAAAGAAGAGCGTTGGTCAGTCTGAACCTTGTCAAGTAAACTCTGCAGGGAGCACGCCCACACGCACTGTGCTAGCACTTTCTGCTCCAGTCGAACGCCAAACTGGTACAACGCGAAGCCACTCCCCAAGCTGTGAAAAGCGGTGGGCTGGCGGCAGGACATTCTGAAGACACAGGCCGCACAGGACATTCTCGTGGTGGCCCGGGCCAGGCTCTGCAGGGGGGGTGAGGTGGGGGGTGTCCGCCCGTCCGCCCCACTGCGAGCCAGCGACAGTGCAGTGGCGTGGTTCCAGCACAGCTCAGTACCGGTGAGTCTGATGAGAGTACTGTGGAGGCTGCTGGGAGGTAGTTGAATATCCCATGCTGCTCTGGGGCTGTGATGTGCTTGGTCCAGGGTTGGGGTAGGCAGCATGTGGGTTGGAACGCTGGGGAGAAGAACAGGAAAGAGGTGAGCCAGCTGTTCCCAGAGCGCGTGCGCGTGACCCCCGCCAGGCCCGAGCGCCCCTGCATCTCCAGGAAGCACATGGATGTAAGTGTTCTGTTCAGAAAGCTAGAATTAAAAGGACCAAACAGCTCATCGTTCATACCAGTGTTTACTTATCAGGGTCAAAAGCTACCAGGTGCCGCAGCGTCAATGTGGGCCCCAGTGAGCCCAGGAGACAGACAGGCTGTCTACTCCCATCAAGAGTTAGAGTCCCGGGAACAGCAGAGGCGGTTCCGCGCTGTGGTCTTGTTTCACACGGACTCTCGGTGTCGACTCATGGCAGAGAGCTTGTCTTTGGGACCCTGGGTTGGAGAACTGTCATGTGAAGTGAGGGGCGCTGGACAGTCGGCCTTTCTCTGTGCTCGCTGGGGGGGGGGTTCCACTGTAGCCCAGCGCTCTCTGCTGCGCCTCAGGCCAGAAAGTCTGGGAGGAAACCATGCCAAGCCGAGTCCTCTCGCTCTTTCTCTACAATCTTTTTTCCAAACTCGTTAGTCTGTTTTCATTCTACTTGCCCTGAGAGCGCAGTGGGTCGGGGGTTGGGCGGCTAACTGCAAGGCCAGTAAATCAAACCCACAACCCACGGGCAGCTCCCGGGGAGAAAGATGAGACTGGCTGCTCTCTGAAAGGCTGCTGCCTCAGGAAGCCGGTAAAGGGTCGCTGTGGTTGGAAGTTTTGAAAACCACGAACTTTTCTGACCGGCTTAACCTTGAGATCCATAAGAAAAGCTCATTTACATGTGCATTTCCTCAACAGGACCGCCTCGCATGCAGATGTGACGGGGAGCTCCAATGGCAGCACACCCTTTGATGTAGTTCTCTGTACACGTCCCACAGGGAAAAACACAACCCCTGAAATGTCGCCAGAGCAGGGTTCTCAGATCAACAAGTGGCATAAAAGGCAAGATGGCAAGTAGTCAGCAGTGAAACCACACGTCCACCACGTCCTGGTGGTCCTGCCAAGTCTGAGTGAGGCTGCGGACATGGGCACCGAGTACTTGGGGCAAAACTGACAACCGGAAGGCTCTTCCCGCTCTGCCTCAGACTGTGTGTGGCGGCGGCGGCAGCCCACGGGGGTCTCTTTCCACTGATTCCCTCCCGGAAGCACAGGACCAAGCTTTTCCTCCTAAGCAGTCTTGGCCTGTCTGCCGCCGGGGATGTTATCAGGATCTGAGATACTGGTGGTACAGGTCCCGGCATCGCAGCAATAGGCAGGTCACCCTGGAGCACCTGGACAGAACCCAGTGGCCCCTAGTCCTTCTTTCTCACAGAGTGGCTGGTGAGTTCAAACTGCTAACCTTGTGGTTAGCCGTCCAACTTGTAACCCACTGCACGCCACTGAGTTCCTAGCATATTTCACGTTACATCCTAATCCTGAATTCTGAAAAACAAAACCCATTGCAAAGGGTAACCATATGACAAGGTAGTCAGAACGGCCGCCTTCCCCTCTCACTATGTGCTACTCCCGCAGGGTAACCTCATGCCCACCCCACCCACCCTCTTGAACCCGGTCCTTATCATTACCAAGGCCTGTCAACACCACATGGCCCCTGCAGAAATGCTGACTGTGTCCTGTGAATTTTACAACATCAGCAGTCCTGGATAGCTGCTGCTGGGCCTGAGAAAACGAGCCGTGGCGCTGTGGTTAAGCTGACTACAAGGGCCATGGTGGGAGAAGGAGGCTGTCCGCTCCAGTAGAGTTAGTCTTGGAAATTGGAGGGAACAGCTCTTCCCTGTCCTGTGGGGTCGCTGGGAAGCAGCACGAACTCGGTGGCAGGTTTTAGCACACACACATCGCATCTGCCTCTCACCACGCCCTCGAGCTAAGAGAATGTACAATGAGGGCGCGAGCGCCTGCCTCTCTAGCTAACAGTGACTAGTGCTCCTCATCGTTATAGTCTGTGGTCTGCTGCTTTAAGACAAGAGGTAACTGAGCTTCTACTATCATGCACTAGCTGCTAAGACACAGCCTGTCTAACCCTACAAGAGCTGCACGCCAGGTGTCCTGCTCCCAGCTTACAGAGGCACCCACTGAGGCCAGTCCTTGGTTGGCTTGTCCAAGGTCACTATAAGGGCATGGCTGGAACTGGGTCAAGGGTCTAAGCTCTTTCCACTGCACGTCCTCAGTCTCACCAAGTAACATTTCATGCCAACGTGTTTCCTCCAAGGCAACCCAGGGACACAATGGGTTCAATTTTAGCCTGCGAAACTGGCCCACCAGCTACCCCAGTGACGGTGTACAGCCTTGAGGGCCCCGCACGGGGCTGCTATGTGTTGGAACGGACTCTCGCAGTGGGTGTGGTTCACCTGTGCTGAGGAGCCCCGGTGATACAGGGTGTTAACATACTTGGCTGTTAACAGGGAGGTCAGCAGTTCAAACCCACCAGTCATTCCAAGGGAGAAAACAGAGGCAGCCTGCCCCTTCAAGATTCAGTCTGGGAAGCCCTACTCTGTCCTATAAGGTCCTGTGAGTTGAAATCGACTCAGTGGCAGTGGGCTTGGTTGTGGTTGTGTGTGTGTGTTTGGGTGAGGGGGTGGGGGTGGAAGAAGGGCAGTTTCCAGAAGTACATTTTCAAGGGGTCCCCACCTCCCCACCTCCCGCCTCAGAAGATTGGGGGTGGCGTACCTGATAGTCTGAGGTCATGATCAGGCCACCTGAGGTAGTGGTCGGAGGAACGACTCTCACTTTCTTCAGTGGGGGCCCCTGTGCGTGGCTGCTGTCCTGGTTCCCTGGGTGGCCCGTGCCGTTCGTGTGGTTATTGCCAGGCTGCTGCTGCTGGTTCTTCTAACACAAAGCTCAGCTCAGACGGAGCCCAGCACACATGCGCCCAGGGAGGCCCAGAGCAGACGGGGCAGGCTCAGGGCTGGCACCCTGAGCGGGAGGGTGCGCTGTGCGCCGGGGCTTTGATACTTACTTTGTCTCCTTTGTCATCTGGCTCTTCTTCTGTTAAAAACTCTCGTTTGGGGTAAGGAATCTGGCAGCCGGCAAAGACGCTGCTCAGGAGAGAGAGGAAACCATGTCCGGTGGACTAGCCCCACTCGCTCGCGGCTTGATGAGCCGTTTTCATGGCGCCGCTAAGTCCCCTTGCATCGCTCTGGACCACTGACCCAGACCCCTCTCCTCCGTGCGCCCCGCCCTGCAGGGCTCTCGCTGCTTGGACAACCTGACCACAGTGGGCACCGAATCTGGGGCACCACCAGTGGACATCTCCCAGAAGCACCAGGTAGACGGGCAGGTCCCCAACCCCATGGCCACCCAAGTGATGATCAGGACAGGGCAGGCCTGTCCGAAGGGTTTCCTTGAAGAGGGGTAAAGTAGCAGCTGTGGGTGGGGTGTTACTGTCACTTACTCTGATGTCGGAAGTGGATCTTCTAAGAAGTAGGGGTCCTGCATCGCCTGCTCTGAGGTAATCCGCTTTACTGGGTCCATGGTAAGCAACTTCTGAAGCTGAAACCACAAATCACACAACAGCGGCTCGCCCTGCACGCACATGTGGGCGGGGAGGGGG